TGTCTGCTTTGAGCTGGCGATGGTTTCAAGTTCTTGTTTCAGAAGTGAGTGGCGAACGCATAATTCACCTTCTTTGGCTGACCAGAATTCCGAGAGAAAGCAGGTTCGTGATTGAAATCACCAAGGACGATGAGGACTGGCTTGAAGGACATTTCTCGCTAAACATGTACGAGTTCGTGGATTTTCTTGAAAATTTTCAGGATGCTCCGCAAGGGAGCGCAATTTCTACAAAAATGTCAGGATGCTCCACACGGGCGCGCCATTTTCAACAAAATTTTCAGGATACTTCGCACAGGAGCTTCGCACAGGAGCGCGATTTTCTTCAACGTTTGAACGAAGAAGACGAGCTTGAGCGGAGCAGTCCCGTATAGAATTAGTATAGGATCCATCCACTTAACGCTCAGATTTTGAACGACGAAGTCAACGAATCCTAGACCAAAGCTATACCGGAGACCTCCGCTCGATACCGCCCTTTTGTACCAAGACAACCACATCGAACGAAGTACACTGGGACTCCTTTGGTATGGAATTGGTATAGAATGCCTGGACATCATCGTTCATAGATGATCCAATTTTTCCGAATACTTCGCACAGGAGCGGCATTTGCATTGAATTTGATGAAGATAAATCAACGAAATTTCCAGGATGCTCCACACGGGAGCGCGATTTTTGATGACATAAAGACCATTGAAACGCAAAAAAAAACGCGACTGTCTCGAGCGGGAGCGAAATTTTTGAGTAATTTTGAAGTAAGCAGAACCTGGAATTTTAAAGATGTCCCGCACAGCGGCGCGCCCCGTTCGGTACGGACCATTCTACCAAGACTACTTTAAAGGCACAGTCACCTACAAGTATTCTTCAACATAGAACGCCGATTTTTTGAGGATGCTCCGAGCGAGAGCGCGATTTTGAAGCCACAGCGGGCGCGTCCAGAATGTTTGCGCCACGGATGTCACGCAGGCATGGCCGGCGACAGCACATCTAAAAACTAGAACCCCACAGTGAATGTGGGTAAGAATTCAGTAATTCATGTTCCATAGAATTAAGGAGTTTAAAGGCAGCCCTATCTAATCCGTTCGAAAAAGATCACCCCGCCCCCAATTTAAATCTTGTTTTGGGCCCGGATTATTTGATATTAGGGGGGACGTCGTTTAATGTTAGGGGGAAGCGATTATTATGCTGATGTGGCCTGGGGGTGACCTCCCAGACGACATAAGCAACTGGAACACCAAGGACTTGCAGAACACTTGGATCACAGTTCCCTTGAAAAAGAAAAAAACACATCCGGGAGCTTGAAAGAGAAGAAGAGGATGAAGTTTATGCAGTTTTCGATTCCTCCAATCATAGCAGTTCAGACGAGTTCGATCCTTATGATGCAGCTTGTCAAACTTGGGGCCATGTGTAGGTCCAGATGTGAAAGGCTGCGTGGGAGAAAAGATCCCATCACATGGAAAGAATGGAAGGAGGGCAAGAATTGGAAGGATGGGACAAAGACAGAAAAGACAAGGAGGAGAAAGACAAAAGTGCTCTGGCCTCTGCCTCCACAGACAATTGGCTCTCTGGAAAACCGACCATGACCAGGATGAACCAGACCCTGAAGTCCTGGAGTGACTGGAAACTGTCTTTTGCCTGTGGCAACACAAATTTCGCACCTGGGGCTGATGGAATCCGGCAGGTGATCGAAACTATGAGCAGCGGTGGATTGAGTCTTCGGCCAAGAACAAGGTTGAAGACATGCCTGCTGATGAGGCCGAGGCAAGATGAAAAACCAGGCGAAGTGCAGAAGGACAAAGAAGAGAAAACTGGTGAATACATGAAGACTGCAGCAAAGGCTTTGCCTTCAGCACCTGCTCTTCAAAGCGATGCTGCTGTTGCTGAGCCAGGAGGATGCAAAAGATGCCGGGCCTGTAGAGCCAAATGAGCGTGTTACCGCCCATCCTGGAGGTTCTTGGAAGAAAAGGAGGGTTATGGGAAAGAAAGCTGGTGGTGATCCAGCGAAGAGGCGACCCAAAACGTGATTGCCTAGTTTCACAGAACATAGACATGGTGAATGTTCGGCACGCGAAACCGAAAAACACAAGCAGTGGTAGTGCTGTGGAAATCTAGTTGGCGAAAATGATGCAGTATCCTTGCAAACAATTGCTTATCTGCTTGAAGTGATCTTGTTTTCATCATACTGTCTTGGGGTCGCCCTGTTTTTGCTTTGAGGACTTCTTTAGCGGTTTTCGCTAGGCATTTGCTGTGTCCGAGGTGAGGGCTCATTTTTGGACACAGATCAGCATCGTGTTGGAACACGATTGTCGTCACTTTGGACACAAGGGCGCCGATGGCGTCTTTGGTAACATGAGGATGTTATATTGCGCTGTGTTCGCACGACGACCAATGCCTCCGTGTGTCGGCTCGTCCAACTGTTCGTCCACGGTTCGAGGGTTTGAGGACTCTGGAAATCCAATGTATAATCGTCTCATTATTCCAGGGCTCACCCTGCTGGCCAAGGGTCTGAGGAAGCCTGATGTTGATGTACAATCGCCCCATTATCCAAAGCTCGAATTTTTTAGTTGCCCCATGAGTCCAGTGTTCGCCCTTTTCGTCTAATTTGGCCAAGGATTTGAGGAGTCCTGATTTCAAATTCTAGTCGCCCCATGATACCAGGATAACCCAAGGTTCCCTAGCGATCCCTAGTGCAAGGCTCGCCCCATTTGTCCGACGTTTGAGGGGTCCCTTTTTCATTTACAATCGCCCCGTTAACACCTCACCCGCTCTTGTGCATGGAGACCCGCCCCATGTGCATGGCTGCTGGTGCTTTGCTCTTGTGTCCCACCTGATGTCTTTGCTGCTGGTCCGTGCTGCTGTCTTTTCATCGTTTTTGTTTGATCGGTCATACGAGTCAACGTGCGGGGGTCTTACTTTTTACAACCACATTTGCGGGGGGTTTTGCTGCAAGCAACAATCACAGGCGCAGCAACACAAGCATGCAGAAATTGAACCTCATCACAGCATAACAGATATAACAGGATGATGTTTTCCGCCCATTTCGCACAAAGAAAACCCCAAATGCCTTCAACATGTTTTGGATTCTCTGAATCCACATCCCTGAGCCCCCCAAGTCTCCCCCCAGCCTCTCCAACTTCTCGGGCGTTGCTGCCCATTCTAAGAGCTGGCCATAGAGGTCCTGACTCAACGAAAACGCCATGCATGGGACCATCGGACCTTTGGCCACCAAGATCGGCTCATCCACTCAAGGTTTGGGCAAGTGACCACGAATGAGTTGAACTGCTGCACATGCGGATAACCTTGGCATGTAGCTGACAACGTTTGGGGTATGGAAATCAGGTCAGCTTTGTGCAATGCCATCCCATGGCTCGCCGAATTGAGGTTGTGGCGCCAGGCATCCGCTGTTTGCAGCCAGTAGCCTGGGTTCAACTACTCTGTCGCTTAGCCATCCACGCAGAACCCGTCGACTCCCGTGCAAAGCTTCTGTCTGGTGGCGAATCTTGTCCAGCTCGCAGCCCCAAGGAGCGAAAGCAAGGGTCCTGGAATTTCAGGCAAAGCGTGGCAAGCTGCTGCTGCCTGTGCTTGTCGAAATCAATTGTTGAGATGCTTCGGCTTGGAGCAGCGCCCTCGAAGGCAGCCACAGGGATGTCACACAAAGGTGTCGCAAGGAGCTATAGACAAATCAGCGCTGCGACTCACGCTCGCAACAAACAGGGCCAGTTGTGCAGCTCAGCTGCAACTCTCCCTCAAGCCGGTAGAGAGGTGAATGCATATGGAACCAGCCGATGCCAGTTCTGCACATATCTGACATGATCCTGCAAGAGGGATCGCTCTTTGTGCCGTTTTCAGTTTAGCAACTATATCTGCAGGGCTTGGAAAAGCTTTCATTTGATCTTTCCGTCATGCAGAACATGGTGGAGGTTTGCTGGTATGTTCTGGGCAGGCCATCCAACAATTGACTACGCAACTGCTTCCCCATGGTGATAACACTGTCTGCCGCCATCCTGGCATTTACACAAATAGGCTGATCAGGCTGAAAGGATGTTCTTCCAAAGGATTTTGATGGGGCCTGAGAAGGTCATCAAGCACATTTTAGGGTACAACAATAACGGCAGTACTCCATGGTCTGGACCCCGGGAACAAATTCCCCACAATCAAGTCTCTTACTGAGCAGATGGGAATCCTCTTGGCGCAAACTCCGCTCCATCCCCTTGACTGCCGAGCAAAGCCTTCACAAAGACATGCGTTTGCGACACAGAGGTCCGCATTTGTGTGTGGGGACAGAGTCATGCAACTTAAGCCTCTCGAATATGGTCTCATTCTATATTGGGACTCAAGACCTTCAAACATCTGCTCCTGTGCCTGCGCGTATGCGCCTTAATTTCGGAAAAGCTGGGCTGGCTGTGAAACCTCACGGTGTCTTTGGCTAGTCACAAACTTTGAATCACAGAATACCATTACATGATTGCCTTCAAGTTCGTGCAGAAGCGGTCCTCGCTTGCCAGTCTTTGTGAGGCACAAGTGTTGGCACCTCGCAAAGGCGTCGCACATGTTTTTCTTGATTTGAACACAAATACTTCCGCTAGTTCCCTGCCGTGCAATCAACGGACATTTTTAAATCATGTAGTCAAACTATGCCATTCACACCCTCTTACCACCTTCCCAACACGCCCATTGCACGCACCGAGCCGCATCGTTTGTTGAATAAGTTTCGGGATTGGGGGGACTTCGCGGAGAATGTCAGTGAGGGGCCCTCCGCTCCAGCGGTTCAATTGTAACCTTGTATAGCCTTGTAGTCCACGCAATAGCTGTTTTCAGTTGCAACAGAAGTCAGATGGCAACCTCCTGCCATACGAGGTTTTAGGCTACACAAGGCTTTTTGCGGTCATCTGATCTTGCAGCGACACCTGGAGGCTAAACTTGGTATAGGGGATGCAGCTCATTGCTAGGAGGATGACACTTGTTCAGGAGTACTGTTCGCCATCTGCAACTGAAACAAGTCCTGCTCATGCGGCCACCTGCAAGGAGTACAGCTCTGAGAAGGTTAGCAGCGTGATGTCGCCTGCAAGGTAGATCCTTTGCTGCGCTTACATCATGCGCATCATGGAGAAAGCTAATTAGAAAAACAATGTAGATCTGCGCTGTAATGGCGGCAAATCATGTTGGCCAAGTCTCGCTGCCATGTATTTCACAGCATCACTCCACCAGATCTTGCCGCGAACCTCCGCATTCTCAACGGCCACACGGCAGATGATGTGCCAAGCACCAACCCCTAATCTCTTGCAACTTGCCAGTGCTTGCCCCTGCTTGCGTCTTGCCTGGCCCTGCCACGGATCGCCAGCACCGCGATTGATGCTCTCGAGACCTCCTTGCCAAACCTGCAGCAATATGCTGAGAGGGTTTTGTATTGCAAGCAGGGTCTCCTGGCCACTCCTGGGATGTTTCTCTGTCGCTTGGCCTAAATGGGATTCCACGCGTTGAGCAAGGTGGGCGACGCAGGCCTATCAATGAGTTTGGCCTAGATCTTCATCGTAAGCGCTGGATGCTCGGACCATTGCCCCCGCGGATACGAGATGCAAATGTGGACATCATGAGTGACTGAAGTAAGGGCAGGCTCGGTGCTTTCGTGTTGACGGTCTCAGAAACTACAGTACTACGCAAGTTTTCCTTTTCATAGACTTTCGGTCTTTCGAATGCCCTTTCGCGCCGCTTTCGCAACCTTTCGTAGACACCATAAAACACTATGTTCCGTCAAGCATTGCAAATCATCATGAAGCCTGAGGTTTCCTGTTTGGGCTGGAGATGGTTGTGTACTGATTCAAGTCCAGCAGCGAAGAGGTGCACTTGGGTCTATCAATGAAGCACCGCTCATGATGCCAATGGTTCACAACTGAGAGGTTTGGAATCTGGCGGCTGTCGGGGTAACAGGCAACAGTCAATCTAAGACGGAGGATTGACGCTTGACCTCCAGGCTCACGCAGTCACACCCAAACGTGGAACCCGTGGTTAGGAAAGGCCACAAAGCGGGCAAAGGTCTGGCAACACTGTGGAGGTTCAGGAGGGGCCCTCCATGAAGTGCACCGGCTTGGGCTCAAAGAACACAGAGGTTCTGAACTTGAAGTACCCGGGGGGGGTCAATTTCCGTCCCTGGGTGGAAAAGAGCCGTGGCTCTGGGTCTATAGTCACGTGGTCTCCTGATGGGCTGCTGTCAGTGCAATAAATTTATCGCAAGCTTATCGGTCTGGAATTGCTGCTGGGGTGCACTTGTGCTAGTAGCAAGGATCCAAACCTGTCAGTAGTGGAGACCACAGTTACATTCTGTGTCGAGCATGCGCCCCAATGCATCTATTGGGCAAGCAATTCCTTGAAGCAAGCAAGCGGCCGGGCTCATCCAGGAAAGCCAAATGGCGCAATCCCTTCCACGCACGCCTTCGCCTTTCGCGAACTTCTTGCGCGCGCACGCGCGACCGTGTTGCAACATCGAAAACGCAGCAACTTAATCTGATGGTGAGGCTACACGGCAAGAATGACGCCCCTGGGTTCTTCAAGCTTCGATTGTAGCAACCTGCCTTTTGTGAGCACCATTTTTCATGTTAATATTCATCTTGGACACGCAGTAGTTGCCTTTGATATTACTTAAACCTTGTTAAAGTAATATCAAAGGCAACCCCCATGCTTTTGCAGGAGCGTGCCAAGCCATTGTTCTCCTTTTCCCGAATGCGCAGCAGAAGGGTTCTCGTTTTGAGGTTGGGGGTCTGGGGGTTGGGAATTGACGCGAAATCCGTGCGCAGCGTTCGCCGTGTGTCCGCCGTGTGTTCGCAAGCGTCTGCAAGCGTCCGCGGCCGAAAATCGTCGCGAAACGCAGAACTGTCGTCACTTTTGGACTTGCGTTTGGTCTTCGCGTCTCAGAAGCGTCAACATTCTCAGGGATCGGGGGGTCGTGGTCGCGAAACGCAGACCTGTCGTCACTGTTGGACTTGCGTTGCGTCTTCGCGTCTCAAAAGTGTCAACGGTCTCAGGGATCGGGGGGGTGTGGGTAGCGAAACGCAGACCTGTCGTCACTTTTGGACTCGCGTTGCGTCTTCGCGTCTCAAAAGTATCAACGGTTTCAGGGATCCGAGGGGTCGTGGTCGCGAAACGCAGACCTGTCGTCACTTTTGGACTTGCGTTGCGTTTTCACGTCTCCAAAGTGTCAACATTCTCAGGGATCGGGGGGGTCGTGGTCGCGAAACGCAGACCTGTCGTCACTTTTGGACGTGCGTTGCATCTCCGCGTCTCACAAGCGTCAACATTCTCAGGGATCGGGGGGTCCTGGTCGCGAAACGCAGACCTGTCGTCACTTTTGGACTTGGTCGCGAAACGCTGAAGAGAGGACAGAGGAGAGGAGAGAAGAGAGAAGAGAGCAGAGGAGAGAAGAGAGAGGGGAGGAGAGTGAAGAGAAGAGAGAGGAGAGGATAGAGAAGAGAAGAGACAGGAGAGAGGAGAGGAGAGGAGAGAGGAGAGCAGAGAGAGGAGAGAAGAGAGAGGAGAGGAGAGAGGAGAGGGGAGAAGAGAGAAAAGAGAAGAGATAGGAGGGGAGAGAGGATGACCCCGGACCTAAGTCTCCTGGTTGGTTTCGCGCATGGGGTGTTAGTATCATTGCGGTGTACGTGTCACATGTCTGCATTCGGGTTCGTGGATCCTATCAGGTTTGCTACTTGTCTTCTTCCAGCGAAGCTTCGTGCCAATTTCTGCGGATTGCTGTGCACACTGCACAAGCCTCCAAGTTAACATGCCTAGTACACCCCCCCGCGTTTTGACCTGCACATATACCTTCCTGAAATAAAAACCAGCCACGCCACTTCCGCATTACAGAAATCAAAGCTCCAAACCTGCCAAAACCCAGTGTCGACCATCCATCCCCTTACTCCTCTCCTCTTTCACAAACAGCTCTCGGTAAAAATCCTGTGCGGGGACTCGTCCAAATTCGAGGCATTCCAGCTCCAGTCCACGACACACGGGACAGGGGCGTCTCTTGCTGTTTCTCGCTGCTTATGTTTTGCCTGCGCAGCAGTCTTGCTTTCAGAGTCCAACCCTTCTTGCTGCTCGGGCTCACTTTGCATGCAACGTTTGCTGCCGCAGCAGGTTTCTGGCTGGGCTGGTCCGTGCGGGAAGACTTAGAAGATCACCCCGTCTCTGGCATACGGCAAGCAGGTACATCGTCTGGATTCACATTAGAGAAAAATTTAAGCACAACCTCTACCGGAGGCATTCTACACTGAGGTCTCGGCATCGACTTCCACTGGCACGGCAGCGTCCTCAACAACAGGCTTCAAGCGTAGAACATAGCTACAAGCTGCGGCAAGTAATTGCACCTTTAACAAACATGCCTAAGAACTCAGAATCGCAAAGCATAAATGCCATTCAATACCCACAGGGCCTTGACCCATGGCAAGCGGTTGAAATGCCCAAACATTGCGTTGAAGAGCTGACCTGCTCAGGGACCACATCCTGAAACAAACTGCAGCCCAGAACTAATGAGCGATCTGGCACGGCTCTTGGCACTGCCAGCCGTGCCTGTCTCTAAGCACTTAGCTGATCTGAGGCCTTGAATTCGTCGGGTGAGAACATTGCGCGGCACAGCCGCTCGAGCGGGGTGCCCAGGCCGCCAGGCCCAGCGAAGACCGGGTCCTAAAAACAACGCTAGTCTTTCATGGCCACAAAAAAACCCAGTCTACAAAAACTCTTCACCGGCGATTTCTCGGCTCTGCACATGCAAACATGTGCAAACATGTGCAAACCGTCGAAGCCTGTTAAAGCCAATCAAGGCTTCATCAGCTTGCGGCCTGCGTGGAGTGCTGTGTGCCACCCGACTGTGGCAGCATGAGGCACCTTTGAAGGAAAAGCTTCTGACTTTCAAAGTCTGTAAGTCTAACAACGCAGTTCCAACGGCTGGGAACAGCACCTCCAGTAAATTACTGTACCCAGGACGGTTTGGGAGGCCATAACAGCAAGCTTCGTCGCGACCGCATTCCAAAGCATTTTCTAGTGTGGCACATGGGCAATGGTGGGCCTCCCAGCGCTGGGGGTCACATTGGTCTGGGCATGTCTGCACGACCCCCAGCTGATCGCAGCTGCTCGCTGCTGTCAGCTAGGCTACAGTCTATCGGTCAAAGAAATGGATAGCTTCCGATCGCTTAAAATGCAAACACTGTCTATGGCACCAGGCGTGATGGCAATTACAAAGATCGCAGATAACTAACAGCCTAGCGCTGAAGCTATCGCGAGCATGAGAACACGTTACCAATGCGCGACGCGCAGTCATCACCGTGATGTGTTGCGCTCCCGTGCGCAATACCACTCTTGAAGCGTGGTTGCAAACAAGGTTTCTACACTCTAAACTTCGCGAGCATTGTGACGACGGCTTCTCTATCTTCCCCTGTGCCACTTTTGGAGCGCGACCTGCACAAAAGACAGGTTGACTTATTTCGACTTCGGAGTTGTAGCCTATGATCTCAAAGCATCATACTAATAGCAAAGCAGAGAACCTTCAACGTGGTACCGAGGAATCGGGGAACATCAGAAGCCATGTCTTTCGGCCATTGAGTAGACTCAATGCCCACAAAGGTGATGCTCATGTCTCAAATCTCGAATGGGCATTCTGAAGCTGAGCTATTCAAAGTAGGGGAAGTTCGACATTGGGGTAGACAACGCCTTGAGGCCCACCAGGTAAGAGATGTCGATGGAAAGCCGAGCCCAAGCTGTCGTGCAGAAGTGGTGTTTGCTGCTCTGAATGCTCTCCTCAGTCAAGGACAAGTTTTACCGGAGCAGCATGCAGATTAAGCAGTCCGTGTTTGGACCAAAGAAGATGACATCCTTCATGCAACCTTTCTTCCACCAGACGTGATACAACTGATTTGTTGCGGATCCGGGCGCAGCCAAGCGACGCCTCCAAGCCGCGCAGCTTCAGCGATGAGCGCGACGTGCCACTCCTCGAACTGTGCGGGCAAACACACTCCTCGTGCAAGTGATCGGGGCTTCAACTCATGAAATCCAAGGTGACAATTCTAGCTTGGCTTGCGCATCTAGATTCGGTAGGCGTGTGCTCGCCAACCAACCAGTTCACCATGTAGTGAAATACGGGCCTCACAGGCGTCAGTTGGAACCGTGCAGCCAACTGGGATATTTGGTCTCAGGTGTCGAGAGTTTTGGTGGGCATGGTGACTGGCGCATGTCGGCCCTCAGGGCGGTTGGTTTTGGGAGTGCATAAGGGGTGCAGGGCTTAGCGACTAAAACGTCGTGTGCGGGGATCAGAGATGCATTCCCGGATGCGCGCTAATTAAATGCAAGAAGGTTGGTTTGTAGGGTTGTCTGACTTCACACACTAGTCCAATTTTTGAGGATTTAACCTACCCATTCGGAATCAGTGCCAACTGTGTACGGGTTGCTCAGGCTGGGTGCTGAGGTCTCAGACTCCGTAAGTCAGATGAGTGCAGGTGGTTGCTTCGATGCAAGAGAGCTCAAACCTACAAGAGTGAAAGGCAATGCAGGCCTCTGTATACATGTAGAGAAGGTAAGATATGAATTTGTCAGGCACATTCTGGCTACTGCCTGCCTACCAAGGCTTACAGGCCAGCGGATGCTGGAAATCCACATAGTGTGCCGAAGGCAATGTTGGCTCGACGGCATGGTGAGGAGAGGTGCTGTAGGGGCGCAACCAGGTGGCTGCCGCGAGAGCTGCTGAAGCATCCAACAGAGAGGCCAGATTCCGGTGCAGACCCAGGCGGTGGCCTGAAAGGGACAGCTTAAGGCTTAAGATTGCTTTAAGCTTCGGCTCCTCCGCCAGAAAGGGCTCCGCGGCCACCGCTCGCCGCAGCTCCGGCCACACCGACAGCTCCGGCCCAGTCGCCTCCGTGGAGTTCAGAGTGCCCAGAGGTGCGCAGAGTGAAGATGGTCCACATGCTATTTGCAGTATGAGCTTCTGACTTGAATACCTTGACAGAAATATTTACGTCAGCTCTGCGTGATCTTTGCTGAAAGTGGAAATTCGCACGACTCTTTCGAGCTTTCATAAACCTGAGGTACCTTCTTTGACGCGGCCACGCTCATGTCAGGTGAGTTCCATGTCTCTGTTGCAAACGTCGTGTCCTTCCGCACGCTCTCATCAAACATCCACTGCCGAAAGAGTTCCTGTAGCGAGTCCTCGCAGTTTGCTTGACAAGATAGATCTTTCAGTGAGAGATGCTTTGCAGATATGTTCTTATCAAGAACATGTCAGGTAATCCATAACCTTTGACGGCCTCCCGCCGTCCTGGTCGCAGCGCCCCAGCAGCTCACAGGAGTAATACTGACCAAAGAACTCGATTTGGAGCCTTGCAATCGCGAATCGCCAGCAAAAACAAACCCGACAAATCGCAGGACAAACGGTCAATGGAGTGTAGCAAAGATGTGGCTTTACATAGTTGCGCGTTTCCAGCACCAAGCTTGGCCAGTGACTGATGTGCCGATCATTCACGTCAAAGGTCTGCTCGACCGAGTGTAGCAGGTTCATTGCGCAAGAAATTCTCGGCTTCGGACATGCTGCTTTATCATGACGTCCCAGCAAAGCCTGACCATGTAACGACAATGTCAGCCTGTTTCTGCGCTCTGATGTGGGAAATTTGGACGACTTGGTCAGCAATGCGATTGTCCAAGATGTCCGCGGAAGGACAAATTGGAGAACGGCAAACATTCACGGATGGCCAAGCACCTGAATATTCCTGCTGTACAGGCGGCCAATCTCTCCTAACGAAACAGCATATCAACATGGTGGAGGAATGGGTGGTCTGTGCTCTATACTTCAACGCAAGAAAGAACTGGTTCCCAGGGCAAAGGGTCGCCCGGAATCTGCTTAACAAACTCCAAATCCCAGCCCATCTCTGCGAAGCGGCTTCTCCTCCTCAGCCAACTCTGCCAAGACGCCAGCAATGACCATTGCCGGCTCCTCAGCTCCACTTTCCTGGTGCTAAAAGTCGTGACCACAACATACCGCAACACTACTAGGAAAGCAGGCGTGTACGGAGAAACTTCCAAGGCAATTTCGGGGCACCAAGGACATGCCGGCATGGTGGCCGACCACGGCCAGACGGAACACGGGTGGCTCCTGAGCTTTGAAATTTGTGTTTGCGCACCACCTCAGCAAAGTCAGCTCTTTCCATGTGTGCCAACAGCGGACAGCGGACCTGTTGACTTATGACTTCTGGACTCCACGAGTTCGCATGCAGTATCACGAAGCTGGTAAAAACAGAAGCCACGAGTGCTTGGCTCAGCAAAGCCCAGGCCTTGGCAACTTGCATCTTGGAGGCCTGGCCATCTTTTCGCGTCTAATGCTTTTTACGCTTCTCAAAGACTGCTGCACCGCCTGAAGTCCCCTTACCAGTGTATACTGATGGTTTGTGTTTCTATAGATTTCTTTGCCACCAGCGTTTGCGAGCACAGGATTTGAACCAGCAGTCAGCAGTAAACCCATGTTCAGGATGCCGCGTATCCGCATCTTGCGCAAACTCTCGGAACTGCCAACGCAAACATTCTCGGGTCATCTGTCTCGCCAGAGCCTGCGGCAGCGGTTGCCAAGCCCACGGTTCCAGGTCAACTGGAGCCAGCACTGCCTTCACACGATCTTGAAAAGGAAGCTCTGAAAGATGCATCGCTTCTGCTACACTGCCACAAGCTGCCGATGGTTGTTCGGTGCTTCTCTTGCCTTTGGAGGCTCCAAGCCAAGCTTGGCTGAGGACCTGCAGCATTTTTTGGCACAGCTTAGCATTGGCATCGCCTAAGGTCGGTACTTCCTCCTGGCTTTTCAAGGTTCTCTGAGCAAGGAGTGTGGTCGTCATGCTCGTGGTAAACAAGAACTGAAACGCCTCGAGAATTCAGAGTTCAGGAAGATTACTGTTCCTGGTGTGGGTCCCGTGGCTTGCAGTGCTCAGCTAGGAGCTGCAACAGGGGGATGTGAAGCTGAAACTACTCAAAAGGCGCGGGAGGGAGCATTGGCCTGACAATCGCAGTCCAGCAGAACATGGCAATGGCGTCTTGTAAACCAAGGAGAGCAGTTGGCGCTGCCAGCGTCGACGACCATACCACCAGTTCGATGAAATCATCATTCCACTCAATGAAGCCCCTCAAACAAACAAAATCGGCTGCTGCTTCCACCGTCACCGCCACTGCCACTAACGCCAACCCCACCACGCACCCCGCCAGACGACCCCACAACTACCACCGCCACCACAAGCATCAGCAGCAGCACCAGCAGCAGCTGCAGGGCCGCCGCTGCCGCCGCCACTGCCACCGACACAGCCGCTGCCACAGCCGCCGCCACTACGACCACCAAAACTTTACAAAGTTATTAGGGAGGGGTGCGAAAGAGGGAGAGCATTGAGCAGTCCCGACACTTGCACCGTTGACGCAAGTCCGCAAGAGGCCAGCAATACGCAGCCTGTGAAGCTGAAGGTTCCAAGATGACTAAGCCCCAAGCAGATTCCAGGGCGAGCTTTCCAAAAGAAGCTCGAGGGACCTTGATGCATGGAAAAGTTGTTCCCTCATGAATAGATGCCGGGCACCTGTGAACTAGACGAGCGTTCTGTGTACTAAGATGGATTCAACGACTTAAAACCAGGGAGCCCAAAGCCACCGCATACAGTCAGGCAGGCCTGTCTGGCTACCTTCTTCTGCCCCTCCAGTTGCTGTGTTCACGTGCAAATGAAAAATTGTTTTGCCCTGCAAGAGGCCGCTCCGGACCCAGGGCATTCTGCATCCGTGCTGTGAGCGCTCGCTCATTCTCACCTGACTCAAGTTATGTTTTCGTGATGTGTCTTAGCGATAGCTCTACTTGTAGCAGCTTCTAATTCTCGCAGCGAAACAAAACATGCCAGAAACCCAAACGAATCCACACAATTAAATGGCACCTTGACAACCGTGCCCGTTGCAAACACTGCAACGTCACCCTGGTTACCGCTTCATAACCGCGCTAAGCGGGCAGGTGCTCACTTTCGACAAGATATGAGGAAGTATTGTTCCCTGAGCCCCTCACCAGCGATTCGCCCCTTCATGTGAGTCAACAGGCAGCTCAGAGCGGCGACATAGCCAAACAGGCAGAAGCCTCCTAGGATGCAACTGTTCCAAGGTAGCGCGCCAGACACCTCAAACTGCGTTGACATTCGGCTAGAGCGGCTTGATCAAGTGAACGAAGTGCTGCTGGCCTTTGAAACCCTCTATCACAAAAATTCCCCGAGCGCTCCAATCATCCGTTGAGGAATGAACAGGGGTCCAAGATATTGGCATTCACATGTATAACAGAACGGTACCACGCTGCCATGGACATCCGAGTTGTCCGGCAGTAGAGAGGAGATCCATAGAGTGTGCCTCAGAAGATTGTGCGCGTCGTGTTGCCCAAAGCAATTTACACCTGAGGTTAATGAGCCCGCTAGGAACTAGAACAGCTCGACGCAGTTTTACAAGGCACCATAATCTTTCAAGGGCTCAGAACCAAGCTGGCAGAGACTAAAATGAGTTCTGTCTGTGGAATTGGCAGCTGCATCAAACACGTAATTGCTGCCTTGGATACAAAGGCAGCTGACAGCTACCAGCAGAGATCTCCGTGCCGTTGGAGCCTAACCAAGGAGGTGCATGATTTGCTGCGGAGCACTGGCCCCGCTGGACAAGCGATGAGTCCGGACAGCACCCTGTCCACGATCAAGACAACTATACCCGAAACAATAGCTGTTACTTGCTACACTTCAAGCTGCAAGCGCCGCAGGGTACTTGTGCAAACTGCGCCAAGTGTCACCCATGGTCTGCAGGCAGGTCAATGATGGCCAGGCCCGACTCTTGAAGTTGATAGAACTCCTTGTGAACTTAAAGCGGACTCGGAGGGCGCAACACCGTTGCCATGTCAGCTGCAAGCATCGCGCATTTGTAAGCTCAACTCTTCATCCAAGGAGCAACTCAATTGACAGTGAGCGTGTTGGAGCACATACAAGAAAGCAACTTGAGCATCAGGATGACAGTGGACAGTCATCCAAACATGCCGTTCTTGCAGCGGAGCATGATTTCTGCTTCGCTTTTGCTTTGTCCTTCCAGCCTTCAAGGTCTGCGGCTAAAAATGTAGAAAGACCAAATGTGACCGCGTGGAGTTTGTGCAAGCACGGAACATATACAAGGCAGCACAGGTGGGCAGCATTATGCCTGTCGCCAGACTGAGTTGCTGCTGACTCAGTAGGGGATTGATGCAGATTTGAAACGTATAGCTTGGGTTTTCCTGCGTGACTTTGCTGAGGCTAAGAATCAACAGTCTGAAAGTCTGGGAGCCTATTCCCAACCTCGTCCAAAGGTGGGGGCTACTATCTTCCTTTGGTGGCGCCTTGTTTAGCCGTCGGCAAACCACCCTCATCATCAGAGCAGCATGCAAAACCAACGGCTGAAGTTCTTGATTTATCCGCAATCTACACGGGAATCTTCACCAAGTCAAGCCTGATTCTACCAAACTCGAGTTTGATGGCAATCCCAGGCGCTTTGTACCAGCCTGACACGAACTCCACCGACTGCTCCTAGGCTCCGCATAATTAAATTCAGTGTCACACTCAGGAAGCAGCACCTGTGATTTGAGAAGCAATGGCTTCAGGCAATGCGTAGAGGCAACATGATACATTGTTAGCCTTCGAGCCGGTAGCGCTGCAAACTGCGTAATCATTCGCCACCTTCCCTTGCAGAGTTTTTAAGAGCAGAACAAAACGAAAGGCGCTTCGCATCTGCTGCATCAGACGGACCAAACGCTCCCCAAGTCCCAGACTCCCCACTGGTCGATGATGTACGTGGCCGTCGCTTGCCTTATGTCCAAATTTCCAAAGCACTCCTTCACCGTCGACCTGACCCAGGTGAGGCCTTACCGACTTGTCAAAGACGATATGCAGCCATGCCGCAGCTCGACCAAACCGTCCCAAGCAAGGCCGTGGCCTGGAGATGTGGAAACATCTTTTTGCCAGTCCGTAAACGACTTTACGATTCAGTTCTTTTTCAGCATTGATTATTTTGCTGTTGGTCGAATCCAGGCCCAGCCACACTCCAATTTGGATCCTGGCTAACAAAATGTGCAGAGGGCCATGCCTTTCCATGTTATGGCATGCTGAGAGGGGTGTCCTCTCACAAAAAAGGTCCATTGGGCCATGCCTTTCCATCTCATGGCATGACGAATGGGGTGGTTTGCAGAAGGCACCCAGAGCGTGGACAATGATTACAAAGCTGGGAACACATATGCAGGTATAAGGAACCACGCGCACAGACATGCACATGTGCATGCTATCTCCCCTCCATACTTGCATTTAAGAAAAACCCTCTGTAAATATTAGTTGTTTGTCGTTTTTCTCATGCATGTCTGGCTGCTATAAATGGGGCTTGTTCAATATTCCACCTCCTGGGAATGGGGTCTTTCACGTACCCTTTCAGCGCCCCTTCGCACACACACCATAAAACTAACAATACTCTGAGTCATCATGTTCTATCAAGCAAAAACAGACCCACGCTTCCTTTAGCGGCCTGCATTGCGAGGGATAAGATGGACCACAACTAACCCTTTCACGTACATTTCCTTCCGCGCGCATGGTTTTGCATTTTCAACAATCCATGAGTTGCTGCGCATATAAAATGTTAGATACGGGTTGTTGAACGAACCCCCACATGGAAGCTGGAACCTGTAAGTGCGGCCAGATTTCGACCCCAAACTTGACGCCTTGTATTAGGCTCCAGGTACACTAAACCGTAAAGGAGGAGACAACCATGCAGTACAAACCCTCAAAACATTTTGGGTTGCAAGCGTCGCCATAGATCCACGGATCGGCATGGGATGCTATTGAATTCATCATTATCGAGAGCAGTGCGGTTAACTGCAAGCATGCAGAGTCTTCACAGATAAAGGGAAGAAAGAGGAGAGGAGAGGGAGGTGGGCAAAGAGGCAAAGCGAAAGAAGGGGAAAAGGGCA